TTCTCAAACAAATGTCTCTGTACATCTCTCTAATCCATTTCCTCTTCTTCATGCCCACTTCTGTGTAGGTCTTCTCATCTATACTGTTGAAATGACTTCTTAAATAGCCTCTGTGCCTCCAATATCTCTTCCAAGTCTACCCTCCACACATATTCCCTAGTGATATTTTCAAAATACAGGGCTGATCAAGTCATTCTCATGCTGAAAACACTTCAATAAATCCCCATTGCCAAAGGAATTGAGAACACCAATAATTAGGTTCCTGATGAAAATTTTCCAGCTTCATATACTATGCTTTCAGCCATAACAAACCCCTGTCGTTTTTCAAGCACAGCATACTCTCTTGGGACATTGGAATCCATCTCTATCTTAGTTTCACCTGAATTAATTCAACTCTTTTTCTACACTTAGGCCTTATTCAGGCCATGTTTTCCTACATGTAGGCTGCTAAGTATTGCTAAGATGAGATATCACAACTATGTGGATTTGTGCTTCTTAATATTTATGGATCTCAAGCTGTCTTTGACCCTCCATGCTGTATGATAATCTGATGTTTTCCTAGTGTAGTCTCTCCTCCATTTCCCACAATAGCTTGTTGGAACCTCTATGAGCCTCCTCCCATCTTTTACTTTATCACTTCTACCTTCATTTTTAGTACTTGGCGTCCCTACTATTCCAGAGAATAGAGGTCTTTTCCTTCCTCCTACAAACACATATGCATGTGACCCATCACTGACTCTTTACCTCCTGCTTCAGTGGAAAAGTATCCTCATTTTTTTATGAAAAGTCCTTCTATCTGTGCTCTGGATTTCATTTCCTTCCACTTGCTCTAGAATCAATTTCTTTGTTTTGTTTTGTTTTTAGTACCTCACTTCCTTTTCTGTTGACTCTTATCCTACAAATATGTTCCAGTTTTTTCCCCACTATCCTATCCCTTCTCTGGATATCACTTTCTATCACAGTTCAACCTTTTTAAAAACATAGCAATCACTAGTCATAATCTTCACTACTCAGGAAAAGTCTATGAAAAGGAGAGATTCAGGAACGAATATATGCGGATCATGCGTTTATGTTGAGGTAAAGAATAAAAATGGACATCAGGTAGGGATAGAGAAAGGAGTAAAGGAAAATAATAAAACAGAAGGACAGCAAAAAACAGGTGGGGTAAACTAGTGTTTGCTGAAAGAAAAAGACAATGTTGGTTTGCTACGTAAAACATCTGCAGTGCAGGAAAGTAAATAGTCCAAGACTTGGAAGTAGTGGGAATAGAGAAATGGGTAATAGAAATTCAAATTGGTCAGAGAGGAATGTCTATTTGTTTCTTTTTCTCCCTTAACTCTTTTCTGTATCGGAACCTATCCTTTTTTTCTACCTCTGAGGAAGAAGCTCCCACCTGCCTTCTTGTCAGAGCTAATTACTGCATGTACATGGTTAACTGATTCCACCTCTTCTTGATTTTTCTGGATCTTGCTTCAGTAGTTATCCTCACTTTCCATGCTGTCATTTTTACCCTATATTTTTATTCCCCTCCCTGCTTCCTTTACTTCTTTCCTTCCCTTACCCTTTCTCCTTCCCACTCTCCTTGCCTTTCTCTCCCTCTAAATACACACATATGTCCATATATGTACACACATGTGTGTGCATGTGTATATCCTACTTTGTACCAAACTCCTTTCCTTATGCCTAAAATCATACAGTGAATTCTCCAGTTCTAAGAACTTTCATCCTTTCATCCTGATAAATTCATGAGCTGTCTCATTTCTTACCTTTCTTTTATTACCAGCCTTCCCTAAAGAGTAGCCTACAATTGCTGCTTCTACATTTTCACACCTACCATCTAGCTCCTGCACCTTCCAGTCTATTGAAATATCTTATTTAAAGATTTCTGATGACTTCCTAATTGTCGTACTTAATGCTTCTTAGAACTCATCCTCCTCTGAGGGCACCTGTTGGGATGAGCACTGGGTGTTGTATGGAAACCAATTTGACAACAAATTTCATATTAAGAAAAAAAAACTCATCCTCCTCTGTATCTTGGAAACATTCAGCATTGGTAAACACCTCCTTCCTTTAAATTCCTTATCTCTTTGGCTTCAATAATATTTCGGCCTCTGGATTCTTTTTCTGACTCTCATACAATGCTTTTTCTCCTTAACTTGCTTCTTTCTCTCCCTACTCCATAAGTGTGGGTATTCTCCATGAATACTCCTTCTGATCTTTTCTCTGACTTAGTGTTTGGTGATTTCACTCACCTCTACAGTTTTAACTCTCATTTCTGTGTGGTGGACTTCCAGTTTTTATCTGTGTGTTTAGCCTGTCAACCCTGCATATCCATATATTTGATGAACAGCTCGATTGAATGGCTCTCAAGCAACTTACATTTAGTTATATCCAATTATGTTTGGTTTTGACCAAAGCCAGCAGGTACCCTTCTTTCTTTCCCTTGTTAAGACTTTTGCTCTCTTCCTAGTAACCCAAATAAAACATTTGGATTTATCTTTGATTCACTCATTCACTCTTTCAGTAAAGATTTGAGAGTCTATTATGTTACCACCATTTAAAAAACTTCCAATGGTTTATTCTTTACTATAGGATAAAACTGAACTTCTAAGGCTAACAGTATGCTCTAGAATGTGCCCCACTTTATCTTTCTTTTTTTCCTACTATTTTATTTCTTTATTTATTTATTTATTTATTTATTTATTTATAATATAATTTATTGTCAAATTGGCTTACATACAATACCCAGTGCTCATCCCAACAAATACCCTCCTCAATGCCCATCACCCATTTTCCCCTCTCCCCCACCCCCTATCAACCCTCAGTTTGTTCTCTGTATTTAAGAGTCTCTTATGGTTTGCCTCCCTCCCTCTCTGTCTGTAACTATTTTTTTCCCCTTCCCTTCCCCCACTGGTCTTCTGTTAAGTTTCTCAAGATCCACATATGAGTGAAAACATATGATATCTGTCCTTAATTTATAATACTAGCAAACTATCTTTCAGCCAATGGGAACAGCCATTCTGAAATACACCCTATGACAAGCATTTACACTTTGGTGCAGTTTTTCTTGCCATTTGGAATGAATATGACATGATTGTTTCCCATACCACACTTTGCTTATTAAAATTTTAGTTATGCTTCCAAACCTACCTCAAATTCATCTGTCATAGAAATAATCCATATTTTTCTTACCCACAAATAATTTATCCAATTACTCTATCTCCGCAACATGCTGTTGCTTGCTTATAGTACTAGTCCATTATTCATATGACATGGTTTGTTTGAGTTTTTCTGTTATTGAAAAGGAGAAAGATACTACAACAGAGGATTTTTGGTAAAATATCATCATGTAAATGTCTCAAAGATAGGAGATCTGAATTGGAAGGCATGATGGAGGATGTCAGACAGAAGAACAGCTTGGATTTGTAAATTAAGGATTTGGTGCCCTTTCTTCATTCTTCATAAAGTAGAGTGGTTTTGGAGAAGAGGGACATTTCAATTACATCTCAGAAAAGGGAATAGGGCTAGAGATAATTGGAAATTGACCAGTGGAGCTGAATACTTAGAAAATTGTGTGTAAAAACGTAGACTTGAAAGATAATTTGGAAGCGTATGCTAACACTTTGCAGAATGTTCACATAAAAGGGAAGTGATCCAGTAGGGTTGACAGGATTTATATGCAAGAGAGAGTAGAGGTCCGATGTATAAAATGAAAGATAGCACTTTTTCTGATCATGCAATGGTAATAGCTGAAATTAATTTCTTAAAAGCTTGGAAATTTGGCAGAGGTAAATGGGAGATGAGCAAATTCATATAAATAAAGAAAAGGCATTGAAAATGATGAGGAATGGTCAAGGGGAGAGAAGCCCAGCTTTCATTTCAAGCTGTCAGAGAGGATTGGTACAGATGAAAAAATAATTTGAAGAAAGCTCTCAAGGAAAGAAATGAAGCCAAATGCTTTGAAGAGAAAAATATATTTTCAATTTTAGAACAAACTAATGGAGAGCACAGAAAATGAATAAAGAAATTAGAACAGAAATAGAGAAAATCAAAGAGCAAATGACAAACGTCTGCAATAGACTGAGAGAGTCTGGGTAATATAGGGAAGAAACAAAATCAAGCAAGGCTACTGACATTTTCTCAGGTGCAAGAAGGGAAGATAGTTGTCATGTGTTTGAGAGATTATAGACAGATAAGCTAAGGTGACTTGAAGTCAGTTTATGAGGATCATTTGTGGAGCTGTAATGCAGGAATGGGCTAACACAGGGGCACACAAAAGCGAGCAGAAAAGGAAAGAATGACTCAGCCACAGACTTCACAGCTCAAGTGTGAGTGAGCATCATGAAAAAGATGTTGAGAAAATCTGTATCTGCTTCTGTTATGGATGTGGCGCAGTGCAAAATCTACACGCTTTGGGGTCAGAGATGGGTTTTAGTCCCACTTCTACCACTTACCAGCTGTGCAACCTTGGGAGAATCTTTGAGCTTCCAGATCCTTGAATTTCTCATCTGTAAAGTGACTTCACATTATTGTGAAGATCAAATGAGATGATATTTGTGAAAATATCTTGAACAAAATTTAGATATTATTATTCTAGGACTTTTTTGCATGAGCTGAGCAAACACTTATTTTTAGGTTTCTCCCCCCTGCCGCTGTATTGAGATATAATTGAAATATAGCCTTGTGTATGTTGAAGGTTTACAACATACTGATTTTATATACTGATATATGACAGAATGATTATATCTGTGGGTTTCTATAGTATATAGAATAAGGAAATCACCAATATGATGAAACAAAGAGAGTGAATGATATTTGAGCAAAGAAAAACTTATAAACTGGAAGTCACTGACATTTTATATATATATATATATATATATACACACACACACACACATATATATATGACTTTACATATACATATGACATTATATATACACATGACATTATATATCACATATACATATAACATTACATATTAACCATACATATACATGTACATAATCACAAGTTGCCAGTGATACTTTATTTTTTTCTTCTCAACATCCTGTTCTGCAGCTTCCTTGGCTCTTTTTGCCCAGATGCCAAAGAGCCAGGCATGGGCATGGACCACGTGAAGACCAGCGAATGCCTTGAAGTTCTCCTCTCTAATGACTCTGGCTTTCTCCTTCTTACAGACATTCCACATGGGCATGACTGGTCCTGTCAACTGGGTAGCCAATTTGAGTTCTTCAGCAGAGCCATCTCCCTCCTTAGGGGCTGATGGCTTCCTGGGGAAGAGGATGAGCTTGGAGCCATACTCCTTCAGCCACTTCACATTGGCCTGCAGGGACTCTGTGGACATGTTCCACCTTCTTGGACTCACTGAGATTCCAATGGTCCATGCCACCTTCTTGTGTAGGCCAGCCACCCATAGCCCTTCCATGCTGAAGCCCCTGCCAACTTGCACTTGGGTGTGATACCTCACTGTGGGGGCACCATGGGATGGGCTGGATGGGTCCGGACATGGAAGCTCTGGGCCTTGCTTTGGCTTCCCGACCTTGAGTCTGCAGATCTTCCCCGCTGGCTGGTTGAACCATGAGGCCATGCCACTGCCAGTCCTTATGGAAGTGGGGCTTCAACATCATGCCATTCGGGCTGGGTGCCATGGCTGCTGCTTACAGGCCTCCTCCGAGGGAAAAAGGCCTGCAGGAAAATAACTATATATATTCTTAAAGTTTTTATTTTAATCACCCAGTACTCATCAGGACAAGTGTATTCCTTAATCCCCATCACCTATTTCACTCATCCCCTCCTATCTCCCCTCTGGTAACCATCAGTTTGTTTTCTATAGTTAAGTGTGTTTCTTGGTTTCTTTATCTCTCTTTTATTTTTCCTTTGCTCATTTGCTTGGTTTCTTAAATTCCACATATGAGTGAAATCATATGGTATTTGTCTTTCTCTGACTGACTTATGTCACTTAGCATTATACTTTCTAGCTCTGTCCATGTCCTTGCAAATGGCAAGATTTCACTCTTTTTATGACTAAATAATTTTCCATTGTATATATACACCACATCTTCTTTATCCATTCATCTATCAATGGACACTTGGGCTGATTATATATCTTTGCTATTGTAAATAATGCTGCTATAAACATATGGGTGCATGTATTCCTCTGAATTAATATTTATATGTTCTTTGGGTAAATACCTAATAGTTCAATTGCTGAATCATGGGGTAGTTCTATTTTTAACTTTTTGAGGAACATCCATGCTATTTTCCGCAGTGGCTGCATCAGTTTGCATTCCCACCAGCAGTGCAAGAGGGTTCCTTTTTCTCCACATCCTCACCAACACCTGTTGTTTCCTGTGTTGTTGATTTTAGCCATTCTGACAGTTGTGAGGTACTATCTCATTGTAGTTTTTTTCCCAGCTTTTTTTAACATTTATTTATTATTGAGAGACAGAGAGACAGAGT